CTGGATGGGCTTCTAGAAAATATCCACTGTAATATGTCAACTTTAGCAGTGTCAAGTGGTTAAATAACCGGAAGAGTTCCTAGAGAATCTCCAAATGTAATCTGTCAGCTTTAGCAGGGTCAAGTGGTTAAATAACCGGAAGAGTTCCTAGAGAATCTCCAAATGTAATCTGTCAGCTTTAGCAGGGTCAAATGGTTGATTAACCGGATGGTCTTTCAAGAAAAACACCAGCTTTAATCTGTCTCAGCGACAACACCGAAAAGAATGTGATCTGTGATCACATTCAAGAATGTCAATAGTTTGTGAACCAGTTCTCTTGCTTTTATACTTGGAAACTTGATTACTAGATAAGAATAGTCTTTCCACTTCCCTGCTGGTATCTAGACCAGCGACGTGACGTTGCTAGTACAACCTTCTCTACCCGAGGGGACTGACATGTTCACTAGTTTAGTCTTTCATCTTAATGTGTTTTCAGTGTGGCGGCTCAGTCTAGCAGGAACAAGTTGCAGACACCCACTTCAGCCGTATAAAATAGTTTTATTGGAGCATCTGTTGTTCTGTGTGGCAGGTTAGTCTATTGGAGCATCTGTTGTTCTGTGTGGCGGGTCAGTCTATTGGAGCATCTGTTGTTCTGTGTGGTGGGTCTGTCTATTGGAGCATCTTTTGTTCTGTGTGGCAGGTCAGTCTATTGGAGCATCTGTTATTCTGTGTGGCGGGTCAGTCTATTGGAGCATCTGTTGTTCTGTGTGGCAGGTCAGTCTATTGGAGCATCTGTTGTTCTGTGTAGGTGCAGCAGGGCTGATGTATTCACGTATCTCCTATGTTCTTCTTCATGCAGATACAGACCGCTACAGGATGTCCACCATCTTGTTTGCCCTACTTTAGGTCACATGGCTGCTTCTAGTCTGACTGTAAGCATACATACACAAACACTATGTTATTTTTATTCAATGCCTATGAGACAAGTCGCGAGAGTTCAAATCCCAAGTACAAGTGATATAAGGCTGTAGCTTTGATACCAAAGAATGAAAATATTCCCAATGCTTGTTCTTGAAACCTGACGTCAGTATGGGAATGTCAAGTAAGCAGCTAGTTGACTTTGGCTAGGAACTGACAGCTTGCGCTGAAGTTTGTTCTGTGTGTGTATGTGACACCCGTCAGCCAAACTGGATCAGTTGACTGGACTGGATTACATCCACACATCCCCCTGGCGTCATTGGATGCGGGGCCAGTACTGCGAGGTCATAGCTCCCATGTGGTGGTGCCCCATGTCCTGAGGCCCTCCGGGGACTTGAATGGGGACTGAGACACCGGGTGAGATGAGCCCTACAAGGAAGACACATACAAACATATTTGTAAACTGGCAATTGACATGTTAAACAACATACAACTCATCTGTTGCGGCATTCAGATATTTACCATGTCTACACACAAAAGTCAATAACCTATATATTTTAATAACTGTGAAAAACCATCCGATTATTATAAAATGTGGTAAAAATGTTAATGAAAATGTCTTCTTTTAGAATATGAATATCGCGCCAAAAATTTCTTCTCACGACTGCCAGTTGGTCTGCTTCAAAATGGCTTCGCAGATAAAGATAACAATTTCTTCGAAGAAACAAAAAGTATGGAGCAAAACGCTTTTTAAAGAAATTTCTAAACAAAGAATGGAGTTTAGGGGGACTTTCATACCTAGACCGTCGAGACCCGCACTGTTAAGGTGGGAAAGACAGCGGTCAGAAACGGACTTTGATCATTGATGAAACGATAATAACGGCAGAGAAAAGACAAATTTCGGCTCCGACTACAAGCAGTGACAGACGGCAGTGGATACTTTGAGCAACAACTTAAATAGGTAAAATGTAGGACAACATTGCATCATCATTTGTACTAAATGTTGTAATAATCGGGTGAGTTTTAACAGACATTAAACATTTAAAAAGGGTTACTGATTTTGTTTTGGGATACGGTATGGCCAATTATTGTTCAAGGCCGATAATAAGAGTAAGACATGCAAGGGAAATAATTAAACGTGAACTTAGAATGTTGAGAAGATCTCTGTGTGTTCTGACTGTTCTGTGGCCGTATAGAGGGCGCGAAGATCTATGGTCATGGTGAGCATTCACTGAAAGACTGGATTTACCGGGCTGTTTTTGTCACTCCACTTCGTCACTAGGTTGAAGTCAGATACTTCCTTCTAGATTGATGTAGATGTTACAGGTGCCATAGTTTCACCTTTTTCTGATGTTAACTGTCTGGTTACGTTGAACAATAACTAGTCTCGTCCTTTTTTAGGACGACATTTTTTGTCATTTGAAGCCCTGTCCTGGTTTTGCCAGGGGCCGCAATATAGGCAGGTCATAAATATGGCCAGTTGTCTGAACACGGTTTCTGGGACCTCTCCACGGCGATCCTCATCCACATGGTGGCACTTTGCGTCATTGGGTGTTTATCGCTTGTGTGATGTCCTGGTGGGGTAGCAAGTCAGGTCAGGTCTGGTTACGTTGAAAGAGGCAAGAAGTTTTTCGTTTTTTTTATCAACACCAGTACCAGTACCAGGTTACGTCCTTCTTAGGAAGTAATTTTTGTTATTTGAAGCCCCACTCTGGCTTTTGCCAGGGGTCGCAATATAGGCAGGCCATTAATATGGCCAAATGTCTGAACGCGGTTTCTGGGACCTCTCCACGGTGATCCTCATCCACATGGTGGCACGTTGTGTCATCGGGTGTTTATCGCTTGTGTGATGTCCTGGTGGAGTAGAAAGTCACTCACTCACTCTGAAAATCCAGAGTAAGTCCTTACGTTCTTTTCAGGACGTAATTTTTTGTTATTTGAAGCCCCACTCTGGCTTTTGCCAGGGGCCGCAATATAGGCAGGCCATAAAATGGCCAAATGTCTGAACGCGGTTTCTGGGACCTCTCCACGGTGATCCTCATCCACATGGTGGCACGTTGTGTCATCGGGTGTTTATCGCTTGTGTGATGTCCTGGTGGAGTAGAAAGTCACTCACTCACTCTGAAAATCCAGAGTAAGTCCTTACGTTCTTTTCAGGACGTAATTTTTTGTTATTTGAAGCCCCACTCTGGCTTTTGCCAGGGGCCGCAATATAAGCAGGCCATAAAAATGGCCAAATGTCTGAACGCGGTTTCTGGGACCTCTCCACGGTGCTCCTCATCCACATGGTGGCACGTTGTGTCATCGGGTGTTTATCGCTTGTGTGATGTCCTATTTGGGTAGAAAGTCACTCACTCTGGGAATAGCCCTCTTGGTCTGCCATCCCACGGCCGGCTCCAGCAGTAAGGACCAACAGGTCTACGGAAATCCCCATTTTGTGAGGCCAGTCCACGGCCGGTCTGTGCTTACCATTGTTATCAAGTAAATTTATGCACACATTAAACTACAATTTAATCAACTTGCAACATATTTTAATAAATATTTTATTATTATTACTATTAATATTATTATTATGTTTTCTAACAGCTCACTTATTTATCTTCATAATGATAATTCTTTCAATAAAATATGTTGCTAGTTACTCAATCTGTAGTTTAATTTGGTAATAAATTTACTCGATAACAATAGTGAGCACAGACCGGTCCCTAGACCGGCCTGACAAAACGGGAATTTCAGTATGCCTGCTGCAATTGCTGATGCAAATGTGCCATTTGACATGACTGTTCAAGTGCGTTTTTTTTTTTTTTTTCAGTTTCAAAGGCCGGTGAAGGAGTGTCGGTCGAGACAACTGGCATCTGGTTCTCTGTCGTGTCTTTTGCCGCAGTTCGACGTTCCAAATTTTCCTTAATCTATTCTGATCCAGTTTCATTTCGAACAGTTTTATAAGATTTCATTAATAAATCCAATAATGTGAGTGTCTGTGTGTGTGTGTGTGTGTGTGTGTGTGCGCGTGCGCAGGTGTGTGTGTTAAAATATGTTTCAACGGATATTTAATTAGCAAAGAACAAAATTACCTTTTGTGTGTGTTTTGTTTACCTTTTCAAATAAAATAAAAACTATTTGCAAAAAATATTTCGTCAGGCTTGAACAAAAGAGCTGGTAGTGTGTATTCTTGTGTGACCGAGTCTGTTCCTTTGTACCATCTAACTTATTTGACCAATCTCTACAAAGACAACCTGACTAACGCCTACCTGTAGATACCGAGTTGTGAGCAGACTGTCCCATGTGGGTCTGGTGCATGCTGGAGCCTGGCGTGCAGGGTGGTCGGGCGTAGCTGCCCAGGGACAGTGGGTGTTCGTATCCTCGTGGGTTATAGTCTGTGAAATACCCAGGACAGCAATCATGTGATTGGAGGTCACGTGACAACACAGCAAGAGCTGACTCGGTGAAGAGATAAAGATATTAAAGCCACGTTAAAGTATTCATTCATTCAGTCATTCTTTCATTCATTCAGTCATTCTTTAATTCATTCAGTTATTCTTTCATCATTCAGTAATTCTTTCATGTATTCATTTATTCATTCAGTCATTCTTTCATCAGTCACTCATTCTTTCATCATTCAGTCATTCTTTCGTCATTCATTCAGTCATTCTTTCATCATTTAGTCATTCTTTCATTTATTCTTTCATAATTCAGTGATTCTTTCATTCATTTATTTATTCTTCCATTCATTCAGTCATTCTTTCATTATTCAGTCATTGGCTCTCGATTCCAGTGTCGTAAACACCGCAAGGCGGTCTGCTGCCAAATCGCCCAAAGACATTCTATTTATATTGTTTTCATATTTTTTTTCAAAGTGTGTCCTATCCAAAGCCAGCGTCTTTCCTTCACCTCTCGGTCCACTGGGACTTGTTTAGTTCACTCCCCAAAGCTCCACATGAGTGATTCTAGCATACCATTTAACGGCCACCAAAGAATCCATTAAAACCAACACAAAACATGGCAATTGTTAAACGGAGTGGCCCAGGACTGTTATCTGGCCATGCGCCAACAGTTAAAATGTTGCATACATTAACAATTCTACAAGAAAAGCCGGAACTCACCTGGCAGCATGCAGGGGTATGATGATGATGTGGATGACTGCAGACAGGAGGGGTTGGTTGGGAGGTTGTTGGACAGGGAGTATGTCGGCATGGGCGGCATGGCGCTGTGGAGAGAAAATAGTCAGTTTATCCAAGGCAAACAGTTACCTCTGTCAAGTCAAGTTACCTCTGTCAAGTCACCTCTGTCAAGTCAAGTCACCTCTGTCAAATTAAGTTACCTCTGTCAAGTCAAGTTCCCTTTGTCAAGTAAAGCTACCTCTGTCAAGTCAAGTGACCTCTGTCAAGCTACCTCTTCCAAGTCAAGTTACCTCTGTCAAGCTACCTCTTCCAAGTCAAGTTACCTCTGTCAAGCTACCTCTGCCAAGTCAAGTTACCTCTGTCAAGTTACCTCTGTCAAGTTACCTCTGTCAAGTTACCTCTGTCAAGCTACCTCTGTCAAGTTACGTATGTCAAGTTACCCGCGTCAAGCTACCTCTGCCAAGTCAAGTTACCTCTGTCAAGTCAAGTTACCTCTGTCAAGTCAAATTACCTCTGTCAAGTCAAGTTACCTCTGTCAAGTCAAGTTACCTCTGTCAAGTCAAGTCACCTCTGTCAAATCAACTTACCTCTGTAAAGTCAAGTTACCTCTGTCAAGTCAAGTTACCTCTGTCAAGTCATGTTACTTCTATAAAGTCAAGTTACCTCTTTAAAGTCAAGTTACCTCTGTCAAGTTACTTATGCCGAGTCAAGTCAAGAACGTTTTATACGCCACTGGGTAGAGAGTATGTTTCCCCTACAGGCTGTCTCATAAGTCTCCACACAAGTCAGAAATTAGATTGTTGTCGCAAACACAAAAGCATCTCCTCTAAAAACACGTGCGCGCGAAACTGGAGCTTTGCTTGTAACTGCGTTGGTGCCGTGCCCCGCCCCCCCCGTCCCCCTAACCCCCTCCCATATATGGAAGCTTAAGAGATATCCTGTAGACAAATCTTCCTTTGCTGAGTTATGTGATCAACAATGAACCAGCCGCCTTTACCTCCCAAGGTAATTTCTAGTGCCCATTTTAGACAGTGTGTGCCTGGGAGCCATAAATACGTTAAACATCTATCGAACGAAAAACCTTTAGGAGAGCAGGGTAATCTAGTATGTTTCAACTACTGGTTTCTGCTTTTAGGAACACAACCTTACCATCGTCTTCTTGTTCGCGTTCAGCGGCATTCCATTTCTAGCGGAAAGTTCTGGTTGTTCGTCCACCTCTAGGCGTTAGTCTTGTTCGAGAATCTGAGTGTTACGTGCGCACACACACAAAAACACAAACATACATAAACACTCACTCACACACACACACACATATACATATACATATACACATATATATATATATGTATGTATATATATATATATATATATATATATATATATATATATATATATATATATATATATATATATATATATAAAAGGTTTACCCTTCATGTGTCCCCTTTCAGCTTCATGGGCCTCAGAACAATGAACCCGCTGCACCCCCCTCCCCCTCTCCCCGCCCACTGTTACTTGGTACCCATTCAAGGTTGCATCGACCGGGAAGCCAAGGTCCGTTCTAAAACTATGGGGGAAAAGGGGGGGGGGGGGACCACCCTCCATGCGAGTTTGAACCCTAAACCTCCGGTGCTACAAGCAAACTTGTAGTGGTTCCGCTACCACTGACCCAGCTGTGTTATACGCCAGAGACAAACCTGTACAGAATACTGTATCCAGGTGCCGTGTACACTCACCTGTATGTTTCTGACATTGAGGGGATCGACTGGTGTATGGGTGGCACCCCAGGGTACATCCCGTTATAGCTGTGGTTGATGGGCAGTCTCGTGGATCCACTACACACGTCACGCCTCTGATTTCTCAGTTTTTCTTCCCGCCTCCATTTTGCTCGCCTGTGAACCAAACAACAACAGTGGTTCTAAAACATGGTCAACGTTGGTCACACGAGTCTCAGTCTATGTTCAATTACGTTCAGTATGGCGGTTTCTAAGTCTATAAATGCATACAAATAACAACATTGTATGTAACTATTTGTTATTTAGTCATTTATGTATCATGTCCAACTTTTAAAAATTCACAGGTAGCATTCTTAGCTCACACACAAATTTTTTTTTTTTTTTTTAATTTGCAGGAGAAAAAAATAAACGTGAAAGGTAGTATAATTAAAAAAAAATATTGCTGGGCATATTTTTATTTTTAACTGTTCATATATTTACTACGCAAAATTGTGTGTATGTGTGTGTGTGTGTGTGTGTGTGTGTGTGTGTGTGGACTTGTTTTCTTTTGAGTTTACCTCTGCCTCTGCTATACGATCTTCTTAATTTTCTCCGTGTCCATAATGGCATTTCAGTACTTAATTTTACTATGCGTTTAGATACTACACTGTTTGTTAAATCAGCGTGTCTTTTTCTTCTCTCTCTCTCTCTCTCTCTCTCTCTCTCTCTCTCTCTCTCTCTCTCTCTCTGTCTCTGTCTCTCTCTCTCTCTCTCTCTCTGTCAGTGCCTGTGTGTGTGTTATGTGTGTGTTTGTTTTGCTAATGAATGTTTTCTTGCCGCAACGGCTCATACCATTTCTCTCCTCGTGTTGTTACTAAATCTGACGCTTTTCAGCTTAAGCTTACATTATTTTTTTTTCTTTCAAATTTGACTATAGAAGGGGATCCACTCTTATCGGTAACTGAATGAATGAGAAAGTAAATAAATGAATGAATGAATAAACGGAGGAATGAATGAGTAAACGAATGAATGGAGGAATGAATGAGTGAATAAATAAGTGAATAATTTAGTTAATAAATGAATGAATCAATATCACAGAATTTAAGTGGCATCACTCACCTATTGGAGAACCACACCTGGATCCTGGCTTCAGGTAAGTCAATCTTCTGTGCCAGCCGCTCACGTGCGAACACATCCGGGTAGTGCGTCCTCTCGAACTCTGCAATACCAAAACAGGCACAGAAATGAGAACATAGAATAAGCAAAGCTAATTTGTTTCTCTTGGAGAACAGAAATGGGTCGCTACTCACCACAAATGGGTCGCTACTCACCACAAATGGGTCGCTACTCACCACAAATGGGTCGCTACTCACCACAAATGGGTCGCTACTCACCACAAATGGGTCGCTACTCACCATAAATGGGTCGCTACTCGCCACAAATGGGTCGCTACTCACCACAAATGGGTCGCTACTCACCACAAATGGGTCGCTACTCGCCACAAATGGGTCGCTACTCACCACAAATGGGTCGCTACTCACCACAAATGGGTCGCTACTCGCCACAAATGGGTCGCTACTCACACAAATGGGTCGCTACTCACCACAAATGGTCTGAAAAGATGCCATACTCAGCTCAGAAAGCCTACAGCAGCTGCGTTGAAAAAAAGTGTGCCTTAAAAGAAGGTGCCGGTAACCGTAGTGTTGCAAACTTCTTTTTCTTCTTCTCTTTCTTCTTCCACTCTCAAAACACATCGCCATATTGCATTGTGATTTGTAGTTAGGCTGCGATATCTGCGCATGTCGACTCAGTACATTGGATATCACCAAGTCTGGAATAAGTCGCATCTTACGACATCATTATTAGGGAGCTTACTTCTTGGCGACTGGTGCTTAGACGTTGCACACGCAGTTCGTAATTCCGAGGTATCGGGTCGATTCAATCAGTGGGTGATTTGGCAGCAGACCTCCTTGCGGTGTTTACGACACTGATATCGAGAGCTAATCGTTTGGTAGCAAACTACAAACTAGTGAACGTAAAAAGCCACAACCAATCCATTCTGAGGTTGTTTCCACAAAGTCACGTCAAGGCTACGCAATTAACTTTCGTTAAGGGGTAGTGGCTTTACTCCCCCTCCCCCCCCCCCTACCCCCAGGGTGGATCCTATAGTGGAATCTGTCACAACAACAATGACGATACACGAATTAAGGAATGCAAATAATGCATTTACAACACTTGTCGCATAAAGACACAAATAAAACAATTCGAATGTAATCTAAATATGACGTCAAACAAATGTAATTTAACAAAGGTTAACACTAATGCAGAATGTTTGAAGCCATCGTTAAACTAAATATAATGTTAGACACATGATGTTGTACACATGCTATGACCAAATTTAACATATTATTACACATGTGTTACTACCAAAGGTAGTATACATACATAATACCTGGATTATGAAACAAATATTACAAACAATATACATACATACATGTAATATACATACATAATACCTGGATTATGAAACAAATATTACAAACAATATACATACATACATGTAATATACATACATAATACCTGGATTATGAAACAAATATTACAAACAATTTCAATGTTTCCGCTGTTTCCTGATGTCTATTTTGATTTACACTTGAACATGTTTTTTGTGTTAGACAATAATACTACTAGATCTTTTAAAGCAGGTTGTTGGCAGAACTGAGCTCAACCTCGGCAGGCCGGAAGTCCGTCAGTCCCCAACCGCGTGGTTTCTGTGAAAGCTGTCCTTGATATTTGACCCTAGTGTCTTGATAACACCACTGCTCAGAGAAGACATTGTGTGAAACCGGCTCAAGGTTGACATCTAGAATTATAATGATAACAAACACCACATACAGACTTGACGAAGTACAGTATTTGCAAAGGCGGACAATGTAAACACAAACAAAACATACAGGCAATTGCTGAGAACTATCTGTAAACAAATCTACAAATAAGATGACGTAAACAGGTGACATAACAACGGATGTATAACGGTTAACATACGTTTAAAAAGACAAAAAACATTCATGACAAATACACACGTTGAACACAGAAGAGAGAGAGAGAGAGAGAGAGAGAGAGAGAGAGAGAGAGAGAGAGAGAGAGATAGAGAGAGAGAGAGAGAGAGAGCGAGAGAGAGAGACACACACACACACACAGACCTTTCTCCAAGGATTCGATCTGCCCTGCAGTGAACGATGTCCGGTTTCTCTGCAGCTTCCTCTTGAGTCTCATGCGCAGCTGCTCGTCCGTCTCGCCAGCCTGGCCGTCACTTTGGCTGCCTGTTGACCCTGGGTTGCTAATGAGGTCACCTGGATGATAAATTCCAACAGCTATTGTCACTATGATTGGAACCTGGTGCTCAGGGCGAATCCTTATTGAGGTAATTGAAGTGACCACATGCCTGAGACCTGTTGTTAACCTTTAGCACGTGCAGTCTTTCTTAAGCACTCACTCACTCCCCCTTACCCCTTCCCTCTAACAATCTTTATCTCTCTCACGTCCATAGAGACAATATCCAGAATTAAGTGCTTAACTGGGGTAAATCTATCAAAATATCGTTGTTGGCTCTAAGAATCTGGCAGTAAGGTGTACGTCATTACAGGTGTAAACTAAAGTACACACTCAAGTATGCAGATGAGGGTGCCTGTCATCTGTGAGATGACAAGTGTCTCGAAATGTCAACGAAACCAGTGCCTAATATTCAGTCGCTGAGAGTTCAAATACACCGATGTGGCATGAGTGGACTAACATTAGAGAATCGTTACTCTTACATGGATGTACTGTCTACAGTCTACGCCATATTAGATTAAGAGGCAACGAAGGAGTGGATCTGCTGGCTTCAAGAGCACCAGTGGTTGAAATATCTATAACAGAATGTGTAAGAGTACGGTAGCGTGAAACGAAATAACGAAGATCGCTCTCAAATGTATTACCAGAATGGAGGGACTATTATGGAGTGTATCTGAAACTTTCACACGCAGAACGATCAAAATCTATACAAAATAGTATTTGATGCGGGAGAGAAAGCATCTATGAGTTTGTCTGAAATGTATTGAAGTCGTTTTTGTATAAACCGTCAGTAGCTGATTGTGTGATACATAAATGGAAGGAGGCAATCAACTATTTTTGTGTTTTCCTGAACATTAACGCACGTGAGACTTGAGCTACAGACGGACAAAACAAGAAGCATCTGACACTTAGATGGCATCTTTATAAATTGAACTATGTTGCATTGCTACGTAGAAATATGTATGTCTGTCTGTCTGTCTGTCTGTGTGCGTGCGTGCGTGCGTGCGTGCGTGTGTGTGTGTGTGTGTGTATGTATGTATGTATGTATGTATGTATGTATGTATGTATGTATGTATGTATGTATGTATGTATGTATGTATGTATGTATGTATGTATGTATGTATGTATGTATGTATGTATGTATGTATGTATGTATGTATGTATGTATGTATGTATGTATGTATGTATGTATGTATGTATGTATGTATGTATGTATGTATGTATGTATGTATGTATGTATGTATGTATGTATGTATGTATGTATGTATGTATGTATGTATGTATGTATGTATGTATGTATGTATGTATGTATGTATGTATGTATGTATGTATGTATGTATGTATGTATGTATGTATGTATGTATGTATGTATGTATGTATGTATGTATGTATGTATGTATGTATGTATGTATGTATGTATGTATGTATGTATGTATGTATGTATGTATGTATGTATGTATGTATGTATGTATGTATGTATGTATGTATGTATGTATGTATGTATGTATGTATGTATGTATGTATGTATGTATGTATGTATGTATGTATGTATGTATGTATGTATGTATGTATGTATGTATGTATGTATGTATGTATGTATGTATGTATGTATGTATGTATGTATGTATGTATGTATGTATGTATATTATATTTGTGAATAAAAACATGAAATTGTTTGGCCCCTGCTAATTGTGAGGCCCTTAGTTAACTTATGCGTACATCCAGGACTGTGTGCATCCCTTGTACCTGTTTAACCCTGTTTAGTGCTTCGGTGCTGTTCTAATCTCTAATGTGGTTACGACTGATTATAATTTGCCAGTGTGTGTTTGCGTGATATAAACTATCCCGACCAGATCATACAACCGGAGATTTGTAATCTAAACAACGGACTTGCCTCGTAAATTATACACAACCATAAATCGACCATTTTTTTCTCACAAACTCGGGACATTTAATTGTATTAATCTGGGAATATGGCGTCTACCGCGCATGCGCTGTTGTGGTTGTCACACAAAAGGGAGGGTCAGCCACACTATCAGTCACGTGCAACTGCCATCCAATCAAAGAGAAGGCATGTTCAACAATGGCGCCTGCGTTGGCCGTTTGAACAAGTTGTGAAAAAGTTGCCACAAGAAAGCCGTTTAAAAGCAGCACCCTGTCTAATAAAACAGATCTAAATCTCTCCCTACAAGCAATCTAATATCACCACAAGCAATCATATCACAGGGGAGACAGTTGGGTGGCCTTGTGGTGCTCTTCCCGCTTGTTTGATGGCAAAACCGGCACAATCTCCATAAACTGGACCAGTTTAAGAGATCTGACGTTTGAAGAGCAACAGTCATTGGTGAAACAATGGTGTCTAGAGCCCAGGCACACGGAGATACAGGTTTTGTTTGCCTCCTGTTGTTTGAGGGACGCTCCAAGGGGTCAGAAGATGCGAAACCCGGGCATGGACAGAGAGGCATCCGCACGTGGGCTTTAGAGTGGACAGTTGTCGGGGCACGTGGCTCTGAAGGCGGAGACAATGGTCGCTGATCTGATGAGGTCACCGCCAAGTGGCATGTTACCATCAGTTACAGCTTTCATCTTGATGTGTCCCTCTCTCCCTGGACACGCTGTGGCCACATGCGAGGGAGACGATGGCGGGTTCGGGGCCTTTGGGATCACTACCGGGGGGGGGGGGGGGGGTGTAGCCTCCGCTGCTGGCATCTACCTCTCTGTGTGAGTGTGTGAGTGAACAAGTGGATCGACGGGTGAATGCATGGGATGTTAGCTTACTAGGTGGACGGGCGGACGGACTGATGGAATGTTATACAGAAAAAAAGAAAGACAGAAAAACAGATAGATAGATAGATAGGTAGACAGACAGATAGATAGATAGATAGA